CAATCAAATTAGCATTTTAGAAAAATCACGCTGGTAGCAGTATAGAAGAGGAATCAAGAGATGGGAAAGCAAATCTGGAGACTATTGCAGTGGCAGCACTGATGGTAGAGAAGGAGTGGAATCCGATGCCAGAGCAGCTGACTGCCTAAATGAGCAACTCTGTGTGGAGTGTGAGGAAGCTGTCTAGGGTGATGCCCATCTGTCTGGCTGGAACAGCAGAGTGGGTGATGAGAGCGTTCCCTGAGGAAGTGAACGGCATAGGAAAGGTTCATTTGGTTCTGAACTTACTGATCAGAAGAGTTTTAGATGAAAAATTCATCAGCATAAAAGGCAGATGAAGCGATTAAAACATAACATCTTTGCCTGGGAAAACCGTGTGGTGTGAAGGAAGTAGAGAGCCCAGTGAGTCTAGCAAGCAACACGGAGAAACAGTGGGCAGGATCACCAACAGAAAATGGTTTCCCAGAAACAGGAGAGTGATTGGCAGTGTCAGATCTCAGAGGCCGAGTGAATCCGCCGAATTTGATCATTTCAAGTCCATGATGACTTTAGTTTCAGATTTAGTGTTCTGATGGATAAAAGCTTTGTTGTAGCTGCTTGAAAGTGAATGGCTGAGTTATATAGATAGCAGTTATTGGCTGTTTTTCAAGAACTTTAACTTTCAATGAACGTTAAGGAAATTTATGGAATGATAATAAGAATTACTTGCTTACTGTTTTGTAGTAAAGTGAAAAGAGTAATGCTTATAGCCTATAGACAAACAACCAGTAGAGAATTTGGAAGAGCCTTAGGGATAGCCACATGGAGAAGGAAATGGCAACCCACTCCAGTATTCTTGCCTGGAGAATCCCATGGACAGAGGAGCCTGGCGGGCTGCAGTCATGGGTTTGCACAGAATCAGACACGACTAAGCATGCATGCAAAGATATTCAAGGGGACAGCTGGGGGTTAATTTTAAATGGAAGAGTACCTCTTTATCTGGGCTTCCCTGATAGCTCAGTTGGTAAAGAACTCGCCTGCAATGCAGGAGACCCTGGTTCAATTCCTGGGTCGGGAAGATCCCCTGGACAAGGGAAAGACTACCAACTCCAGTCCATGGGGTCTTAAAGAGTCAGACATGACTGAGCAAATTTCACTTTCACCTGTTTATCTGATACTGGAAGAAAAGAGAGGAGGACAGGTGTAAGAGGTATGTTCTTGGAAGTGAGGATTTCTGGGGATTCAGAACCAAATTCTCTCTCTGGAGTAAGGAAATATATTGAGAGAGAAAAGAGGTGAAGGTTTGTATTGTAGCATGCATCAGGTTAATTGGCTTTCTCTGAGGCATATTACTGCTTGGTAAGTGGTTTGAACCAGTACTAGATCTTAATTTTTAGGTTTACACAGGGGAATATATTAGTAATCTTTGAACCACCAGCCCTTATACTCAAAAAATCTTGATTAAATGTTACAAAATAAAACATTGTGATGACTGATCCCCATTTGAATTCTGGTTTAGTTAATACTGTAGGGGTGAACTAATTTGAGGAGAGATTTTCTAGTTCATTACCCCACTGTAAAAGTTTTTCTTTAACAGTAACAATGTTTCTTCCTAATCACCTCACTTCATTGTCCCAACTTATAAGGGCAGTATCTGGGTCCTAGAGAGATCATGTTGCATTTCTCTTTATGACATCACGGCCTACTCATTTCTTAGGTTTTACTAACCTCGATATCACAGAAATGTAAGCTGCTTTTAGAACTTATGAGGTGTTCGGATAACTGACTTCAGAAAACTTGAATCTCACTTTGGCTCAAGTTTTCTGTTTAACTTGTTTTGTAATACTGGGATTTTAATTTTTACAGCAGACATATAATTTGCAACAAAAAATTTCCTAGGTGCTGGTTTTAGAAATGTCTTCAAATTAAAGTATTATCTGCATTGTTGTTCAAATTTATTAAAAAAATAGATGTCCAGAAGAAGGGGGACACATTTGTTAACATAAGTGTATAAACAGTGTTAAGATCTTTTCTGTTATCATTAAAAGCAAGTTTGAAGTGTCTTCACAAGTTGAAACTTTGAAAACAATTCTTCAGGTGAATAAAGCATATAAAGTCAGCTAAAAACGATTAGACTTGTAAGTATATGTGGAAATGAGTGTTACATATCTCCCAATGGTTTTACAATTTAATCACTAAAATGTAAACTGTTGCTAGCCTGTTTAGCTTTGTGCATTCAATTTCAGGTTAGAGCAATGACTTTTTTTAACATGAAAATTAACCCCTCCTAGAGAATTAGTATTTGCATATTTTACCCAAAACTGTTTATACCCTGAAAGAGCAGGCAAAACAGTTTTTGTGATTAACTTGGCAGTTCTAGGTGGTTGTTTTTTTCTTTTCTTCCTTTTATGAATTTTATTAAATTTTTATGCTTTGCATTTTCCACAGTATGGAGGTATTAAACTGACTTTGGCAGACTGTGGTTTTTGCATGAAGCAAGCAGAAAAGTATTTTGTAAAAAGAGGATAGATTGTTGTAGGGTAGACTATCTTAGCCAACCTTTCTGTTGTTGTAAAATTATTAAGCAATTCTTTTCCACAGCATATGTTTCAAAAATAGATATTGCTTCACTCTATATAATGGTTGTTATTATTTTTCTTCCTTTAAATGAATTAGTGAAAATGTGTAAGCTCACTTTGAAAATACTTTGAGTTCTAATTTCAGATCACTATAGTGATTAACAGTTATCCCATACTTAAGAAACTGAGTTATCCTCCCTGTTATGTTGCCACTCATCACTTCACGAGCATTTGAATAGTCTCTAAAGATATGTCAAGAGAGGGCAGAAGTGTAGAAATGCTTAGAAAAAACATGTAATTATAGATCATAGTTGAATTTTTTAAAACAGCATTTTACTTAGAAAAAGTGGCAAGTCTTTCAGTTTGAGTGGAGCCTTTCAAGTATCCTATTTGAGCTTTCTTGGTATTCATTTTTTGCTTTAGCACAAGTTGTTTTCTGAAGAGGAAGACTGAAAAGCAAATTTATGTGTATGTGTGTGTGTGTGTGCACATGTGCATGTCCAGCATACACCTGTTTTTTTGCACCAGATTTCAAAATGCTTTGTTTGACAGGTAGGATTAAAATTTTCAAGAACACAGAAGTAAAACTGAAAAATGATTCTAAAAAAGAGAAGTGAATTAAATAGTTAAGTGATAAATATGTCATTGTGTATATAGTACTTCCATATAAAAGCATAGCATTCTGAAAATTTTACTGCATCATCTTACTGCATTACATATTTCTAATTACCCTTGCTTGTAGTGATGTTAATAATAATAACTAATATTTATATAACACTTGATTTGTATAGAACTTTAGGGTCCCCTTTGTGAACATACTATGTTTAATCTATTTCATTAATGTTATTTAGTGCTTTAGGGTTAGCCTGTGTTTTAATATCAATTCATTGTTATTAGTCTTCAAGCGCATTTCCTTTGAAGTTTATTTACTATTTTTATTATCTCCATTTAAAGTAGGAAAATGAAATTCAATGATCTTAGGTGATTTCATTGTTACTTTAGCTGTTGTATCACTGTAAATAGTCAACTTTAATTTTGGTCAGTGTTAAATAATGGCTCCTTATAGAATTTTTCTAGCTGGATAATTTTCCTTAGCATTGATGTAATATTTGACCCCATCTAGTAACTACTTTGGAAAATATTTTTATTTTTCATAAGATGATACCACAATAGTTTAGGAACCTTAGAACTATACGCACACATGATCTTAATTGACTTTTTCACAAAATTATCTTTCTTTCAAAAGAAAAACTTAATCTGATATGCCATTTATTGTCACTATTTGAAAGAAGAGAGGCATTTACAAATATTATGTAAATAATGAGTCAGATAAAGGGCATGTAACCACAACCCAGTACTGTTGTTCTATGTATAGAACATCAAAAGGGAATTTTTAAATACTAATATAGTGGAAGTCCTCTGTGTAGTTTTGATTATTTCAAAAAAGAGAGAGAAAGAAGCTACTTTCCTATACTAATATTTATATACCATAAACTGTCATTTTTAACCATTCGTTAATTAACAGATTACTTTTTTATAGAAAATGAGAAACTTAAACATTTCCATATTTTCAAAATTCGTTCACATTTTATCATGCTTTTTGAAAGTGGTAAAAATAATAAGATGTAATGATTTATTAATAATGAAAAAGACTAAATCGCTGCTGAAATTATCTGAATTGCAAGAGGAACTTACTAATTTACTAAACATTTAATAAGCCTTTTTCTGTGAAGTGTATTTTTCATACACTTACAATGTTACAGTGTAGTGACAATGTAATTGCAATGTAGTTACAATGTTGCACTTGTTATGCGTTTCATTTCATTTGAGTACAGACCATTGTACTTGGACAATTGTAGTAGAATTTTTGTGCTGTAGAACATTGTATTTACTTGTAGAAATTTTGCTTGTTCATTATTTGAGTTGTTTTTTGAAAACTCTTAAGAATAAGATTTTTTGATACAGTGGAAACTATTTCACTTAGCAAGTTAAGTTTGCAGCTGTGTTATCTATGTCACTGTGATACATATAAACATGAACATTACAGGTGTTTTCTGTACAGTATCTGAAAAGGAAGTACCTGTTCTTTCAAAAATGCTAAGGAAATGTGGATGTGAAACATTTTAAAACTCTTTCTTAATTGAAGGCAGTCAAGGAGTCACTTATTTTTTGCTTTTTTTTTTTTTTTTTGGCATAACTTTTAAGACCACTCTATGTTACTAATAAAGTCAGTTCCATGATAAGCAAACTTGTTTTCAAAGTAAGGCAGATTGTAAAAACTGTGGAGTTTTGTAAACTCTGAAAATCTAAGCATATAAATCATTGTCACTCCTTTTGACATGTTCCCTGGTTTGCATCGTAAGCAAATATTTCTCATCCACTATTTGCATCAGTAACCCAGGAAATTACGCTTTCGTTTCTGATTTGCCTTTCCTATTACAGGTCAACAAAAATCTCTCATTCACTTCAACATCAGCCGCCTCACAGCAGTCTAAGTCAAAACAATCAAACATGCTGGACGCTCATCAGATTCTGCGTCAGTTTGGTTTCACTCAAACCGGTGAGCTCCTTTCTTACTTTGACTATTCTGTAAATGTTCAGATTCTATTTTTTAATGGATGTCATGCATTTCACTTCAGAAGTACTGCTCATAGCATTAAAACGGTCAGTTTTCACACTTGGTGAATTATATTCCAGCATTTTTTTCTTTAAAAATCACTAGGTTATTTCAAAAGCAAATTTGAATTTGGTAACTTTAATGGTAGAGACTCTCATCCTCTATTCTTGTGAGCAGATAATAATTGAAAAGTCACAGAACATGATTTTTTAAATCTGATTCAGTTTCCTTTGGGTAAAGGAACCGTAGTTTATGGATAATCAGATTTTGTAATTCATTTCAAAGAAAGCCCAGGTAAAATGCATTTTGGTAGAAACAGGATGCATCCTGCCAAAAGATCACGTTTCTTCAAAACTGGAAAATTAACAAAAAATGCAAAGAAGCTAGTTATTAAAATGTATATCAATCACAGAGTTGAAACGAACTATACAATTGCAAATTTATGCTAATATTTTAAATTAATTTGAATAATGTTTTCAAAGAATCTCAGAGAAAAAACATCTAGGTGAGAAGTGTGTACTTTTGGTATTGAAAGATGTCTGCTTCTAACGTTAGCTTTTGGTATTTTATAGTATTTTTTTTTCTACTATGGAAACCTTTCAGAAAGATGAGAGAACTGAGAATAACAAAACAGGTGTCCTTGACAGAGAGGAGAAGAAGACACTTGAGCTTGAAAAGATAGGCTTAATTTATTTAGAAATTTAGGAACAGTATTACTTTTCTACTTTAAAGGTATTTGGAGTTTACATATGAAGTTAATGTAATATCGCTGAGTTACATGTTCAGTTCAGTCACTCAGTCATGACCGACTCTGCGACCCCATGAGCTGCAGCTTACCAGACCTCCCTGTCCGTCACCAATTCCCAGAGTCCACCCAAACTCATGTCCATTGAGCTGGTGATGCCATCCAACCATCTCATCCTCTCTCGTCCCTTTCTCCTCTTGCCCTCAATCTTTCCCAGCATCAGGGTCTTTTCAAATGAGTCAGCTCTTCGCATCAGGTGGCCAAAGTATTGGAGTTTCAGCTTTAACATCAGTCCTTCCAATGAACACCCAGGACTGATCTCCTTTAGGATGGACTGGTTGGATCTCCTTGCAGTCCAAGGGACTCTCAAGAGTCTTCTCCAACACAACAGTTCAGAAGCATCAATTCTTTGGCACTCAATTTTCTTCATGGTCCATTTCTCACATCTGTACATGACTACCGGAGAAACCATAGCTTTGACTGCTGGGACCTTTGTTTACAAACGTGGATGTAGCCAAATGAGGGGACTCAGGTTAAGTGAGAGGTGAGGGCGGGGTACTAATCGATGCGGAATGATTTGTCATTTGATCGGCACAGTGACACTGCTGGGTGTGCTTTGAAGGCGGGCCCTACCAGATAACAACCTGCATTAATGCAAACATCTTGGATGTAGAATCCTCTCTCGAAGCTATGAATGAGACGCAAAGAATCACTCAGAGGAGGATNTTTTCCAAATTTGCTGGCATATTGAGTGCAGCACTTTCACAGAATCATCTTTCAGGATTTGAAATAGCTCAACTGGAATTCCATCACCTCCACTAGCCTTGTTCGTAGTGATGCTTCCTAAGGCCCACTTGACTTCACGTTCCAGGATGTCTGGCTCTAGGTGAGCGATCACACCATCGTGAGTAACTGGGTCATGAAGGTCTTTTTTTGTATAGTTCTTCTGTGTATTCTTGCCACCTCTTCTTAATAGCTTCTATTTCTGTCAGGTCCATACTATTTCTGTCCTTTATTGAGCCCATCTTTGCATGAAATGTTCCCTTGGTATCTCTCATTTTCTTGAACAGATCTCTAGTCTTTCCCATTCTATTGTTTTCCTCTATTTCTTTGCATTGATCACTGAGAAAGGCTTTCTGATCTCTCCTTGCTATTCTTTGGAACTCTGCATTCAGATGGGTAAATCTTTCCTTTTCTCCTTTGCCTTTTGCTTCTCTTCGTTTCACAGCTACTTGTAAGACCTCCTCAGACAGCCATTTTGCTTTTTTGCATTTCTTTTCCATGGGGATTGTCTTGATCCCTGTCTCCTGTACAATGCCACGAAACTCTGTCCATAGTTCATCAGGTACTCTGTCTATCAGATCTAGTCCCTTAAATTTATTTCTCACTTCCACTGTATAATCATAAGGGATTTGATTTAGGTCATACCTGAATGGTCTCGTGGTTTTCCCCACTTTCTTCAATTTAAGTCTGAATTTGGCAATAAGGAGTTCATGATCTGGGCCACAGTCAGCTCCCGGTCTTGTTTTTTCTGACTGTACAGAGCTTCTTCATCTTTGGCTGCAATGAATATAATCAGTCTTATTTCAGTGTTGGCCATCTGGTGATGTCCATGTGTAGAGTCTTCTCTTGTGTTGTTGAAAGAGGGTGTTTGCTATGACCAGTGGGTTCTCTTGGCAAAACTCTGTTAGCCTTGGCCCGGCTTCATTCTGTAGTCCAAGGTCAAATATGCCTGTTATTCCAAGTGTTTCTTGACTTCCTATTTTTGCATTCCAGTCCCCTATAATGAAAAGGACATCTTTATTGGGTGTTAGTTCTAAAAGGCCTTGTAGGTCTTCATAGAACCATTCAGCTTCTTCAGCATTACTGTTGAGGCATAGACTTGGATTACCGTGATATTGAATGGTTTGCCTTGGAAACGAACAGAGATCATTCTTTCATTTTTGAGATTGCATCCAAGTACTGCATTTCGGACTCTTTCATTGAGTATGATGGCTACTCCATTTCTTCTAAGGGTTCCTGCCCACAGTAATAGATACAATGGTCATCTGAGTCAAATTCACCTGTTCCAGTCCATGTTAGTTCGCTGATTCCTAGAATGTCGACGTTCATTCTTCTCATCTCCTGTTTGACCACTTCCAGTTTGCCTTGATTCATGGACCTAACGTTCTAGGTTCCTATGCAATATTGCTCTTTACAGTATTGGACCTTGCTTCTATCACCAGTCACATCCACAACTGGGTGTTGTTTTTGCTTTGGCTCCATCGCTTCATATTTTCTCAAGCTATTTCTCCACTGATCTCCAATAGCATATTGGGCACCTACCCACCTGGGGAGTTCATCTTTCTGTGTCCTGTCTTTTTGCCTTTTCATTCTGTCACATGTTACAATAGGAAAATACCTGGATCAAGAACTCTTATGTTCAGTCCTGGCTGTGCCTTTCATTATCCTTATTACCTGCAAATGTTAGGATCTTCATTTGAAAACTGAGAATGATGTTTGCATTATATATTGTTGAAGATCAAGTCACAAAGCACATATAAAAACACTCTATAACATTAGATACTTTGTGAATGTAACATACTTATATTGTAAACATGATTAGTGTGTACGCTAGCTTTGAAAAAATACTTTGAGTTCTAATTTTAAGTCACTCTGGTAATTAACGATTGTCCTGAACCTTAGAAATTTTAAATTTCTCATGTGTCAGATATTTACCATAAGTTTGAGCAGTAATTTCGCTCTTCTTGTGTATAGTGGAGGGCATAGCATGTGCGCTTCCTACAGACGTATTCTCTGCACCCTTGCTTGACACTTGGCTTGCCCTCAGACCACGTCATTTTAATGAGTAGGAGGGAGGAGGGAACCTGGCTCCACCACTTGACGCCTGTCTTTCTGCTGAGGTCTAAAATTGTTCCTGGAACAAATCTTGCCTTCCACATTTCAGGATTAAGAGTGTAAAACATAAGTCTGACCAAGTTAGCAGATTGATTAAAGTTCATTCAAGTAGTATCTTAAGTTTATCAGCCAACAAGGTGTAGATAATAGATACAAAATTCTTTCTTTTTCTGTAAATGGAGAGAGCAGAGAGGATAGATAGGAAGGCTTTGAAATGGAAGAGTGATTACCACTCTGACAGATAAAGGTTAAAGATAAAGAATAAAAGGAAAACCAGATATGATAAAGGCAAGCTTTGCAAACTTCACAATTTTACCTTGGATTCACTTCATTTACCTTGAGCTTTCATGGTCACATAGGCCTTGAGTGGGACTTTAAATCATGCATATCCCTTGATGTGAGCCCTGTCCCAGGAGCATGACCATTAAGCCATGTAATACCTGGTAGGACTGCTTTGCTTGATCTTTAGTTATTCTCATTTTAAGGCATTTCTTTCCTATAAAATTTGTTGAGAGACTTCCATGGCAGTCCAGGGACTAAGACTTCAGGCTTCCAGTGCTGGGGACACAGGTTCAGTCTCTGGTCAGGGAACTAGGATGACACCTGCTGCACAGACAAAAAAGAAATTTGTTGAGATGTCATTATATAAAAAAATTATGAAAACAGAGTATGTAGTCCATTGCAAAGTGGCCAAATCCGTCTTATTCGTTAAGAAGCCAATCTTTGTGGAAAAAAATCCTGCACTAGGAAACGGTGAAGTGAACTAGTTTCTACACTTGGCTCCACTTCTGAATGACTAGAATTTTTAGCAGTTTCTTTAAGCTTCAGTTTTTTTCATCCCTGCAGGTAAATGAGGGCTCTGGATTTGGTGAGTTTCTGTCTTAAAAATTCTGTGAGGGGGACAATAGTTAAGTGTTCTTGACTGTACAAATAATCTATTAGACTCTGAAATGAAGGACTATGAAAATAATATAGACAGGATGTTTAAAAATAAAAATCTTACTGAAAAGCTGTCTAAATATGAAGTCTTATGTGTAGATCTTTCACTCTGTACAGTATAAAGAAATACGATTTACACAGAACTAATCAGTATGGGCCTACTGGCCTTCATGCCAGAGGTTTAAGAAGAGACCTTGATTCGATACATATTATATATAAGTGAGTTTATATGCTGGAAGATTAGAGCCGGGCTGGGTTTATGGTCTGCTATCACTTCTATTGACCTCATTCCAGGTGAGTTCTGGGTAATGGAGACTGCTAGAGAGGTATTTGTTTCTTCTTTAATTTGTTTTCTTTAGAG